ATTTTTAACTTTACGTTAAAAATTTTGATTTTTGTTTCAAATATTTAAATTATTTCATTTTTAGCATTGAAAATTGTATTCATGATTATTATCATAATTTTGATTTAAGAAAAATATTTATTATTATTGTTGTTGTTAAAAAATTAATTAATCAAACAAATAAATAAATTATTATAATAATAAATTAAATTAACTGACTATGATAAATGATAAAAAATAAATCTAAAATGAAAATAAACTCTTTCATAAAAAGTAAATAGTTAAAAATAGTACAATATCGATAAACGATCTTATCTTCCGATTAAAAATTTAAAAAAACGTGACTGCGTGTAAAAGAGGACACGTTATGTTTTATTCAAAGCATCCGTTACTGCAATACAGTACTGAGTATCAATATACAGTAACAGTAACAGCATACAGTAGCGATCCATCCACTACTAAATACACCTTATACGTTAGTTGTCTTTTTCTCACACTTGCTCTTATTCTCAGTCACCTCTTTTAAAATTTATTTTATTTCCAATTGGCTTTTTTGCATTATTTTTCTCTTAAAGTCTCTCACATACACGCAGAGCAAAGTGTCTCTTTATTCTTAACTGGCGAGCAAATACAATCGCATGAATAATTAAACCAGGAACGTTACTGTCGCATTAAACATCGATCTTTCTTGACTTAAACATTTAAACAGTTAAGTTCTGTCTTAGTTTCGAACAATTCTCTTTAACTCACTTATAATGGTACCGAATAATTTATCGCTTTTATCTCTTGACTCTTAAATAAGAAATAATATGTATTATTATTTAAATTCAACCTGTACCGAGCAATGTTAATATATAATATACTATAATAATATAATAAAATCCGATTCGCTGATTAAAATCAGGAAGTCTTTCAATATCTTCCACTATTATTATTATTATTATTATTATTTAATATTTTTTACTTTTACAATATACTATTTTAGATTTTATTTCAATAAAAACCAGTGGATCTGACAACGTAATAGAAATAATTGATTTCCCCATCAGGGAAGTGATTCAGCAGAGTAACAGTCCCTTGATAAGAAAAAAGAAAAAAAAATAAATAAAACTCACTTAAGAAAAGCGAATTAAATTAAACTTCATTTCTTGATAAAATAAATCGATGCAAGCGAGGGGTAAGAGGGTTGAAAAGTTTTCTTATGGGCGGAGCGTAGCAAAATTCCTAATAAAACATGTCTTTCCAAAGTTCTATATAAAAAAATAAACACTAAATTTATTAGTTACAACTTCTTCTCGATAAAGCTACAAACTTTATTTTTATTTTTTTACCTTAATATCTTTAATGTGTTTTTTTACTTTATTGACTTTTTATTTCTTATCAAATACGCAATCAAGATAATTGAAGGGAAAATAAAAGTCACTAGCAACCGTGCAGTCACTATGTGATTGCCGTGACTTGTGGAGTATAAATAAATAAAATTTTGCTTTATTAAATAATGACTTTTGTTAAATTGCACTGTACTTTATTAAATATTGACGTTTTTTAAGATATAAGCTCATCTCGATGTTACGCTCATTAAGAGCTTTCATTTGAGTACCCACATGCATTTTTGATATATTTTTCATATATACATATAATATATTGATATATATATAATATATATAAATATATGAAAAATTGATGTGGGTACTCAAATGAAAGGTCTCGATGAGTGTAACATCAGAATGAGCTCATATCTTTAAAAATGTCAATCGTGCACAAGATAAAAGGTCATTTTTTAATTATTGACATTTTTTTAAATATAAACTAATTTTGATGTTCCGTTCATCAAGAGCTTTCATTTGAATACCCACATGCATTTTTGATATATTTTTCATATATACATATATATAATATATATAAATATATGAAAAATTGATGTGGGTACTCAAATGAAAGGTCTCGATGAATGTGTTGTCGGGATGAGCTTATATTTTTAAAAATGTCAATAGTTAACAAGATACGTCATTTCTTAATTATGTATCTGGAGATAGAGCGCATTTTCGAATGCAGCCTAAATATTTATCATAATAAATTGACTATCGGTGAGAATAAAATGAAATCTTGAAAAGGCACAAATTCAAATGAGAATTCAAATAAAAAAATTAATAAATTTGAAGAATATTAAAAATTAATTATTGAAATAGTACTTAATTGCTTTCAAGTACCAGAAGTATCTAGAATATTTGTTTATGATTATTATGGAGTAAAAAAATAGCTTTTAATGCATTTCCACTTGGTTTGTTTCGTCTGAACAATCTCTTTGCTGCATTTCCACGTTCACTTATTTTTCTCTTAACAAGTTTGAGCTTTTTACGTCTAGCCGGTCATAAATATTTATAAATATACCTATTGTCTAATATATTATCCTTTATCACTCTTAAAATAGTATTTTTGAAATAGCTGTTAGTGTACTCGGAATACATATACATAAACATACTGCATTCCCCTTCATGGTTATTACCATTTTGTTATTCTTTTATCTCTAATCATTTAACAATAGCCTTTTTGTCTCAACTCTCTCAACTCTCCACACCGCCTGGCTAAAATTTTTTGCCCCGAAGAAGGAATAAATACCGAGGCAGTGAATACGAAAATAACCACTAAAAATATTTAAAAACGTAAAAGAAATAATAATAAAAAGTTTTAAAAGTAATTTAACACAACTACTTATTTGCGAAGGGATGTGGGATATGGAAATAATTATCAGGCTTGAAATGGGTACCACAATTTCATATCGATTCTCATATAATATATCTACTCCACCTTTTATATACATGTATAGATATAATACAGCTACACACCTTTAGTTATTATTATTGCGCTTGTATTAAGAATGTTATGTGCATATAGATTGGATAATACATATTATATACTTGAATAATGTAATATATATGACAGTGTATATTGAACATTGTAGAATTTTGTTGTATCAGCGTAATCTTGCTTCGTGTAATTATTCTAACGTACATTGTATGACCTTTGCAAGGTGGATTTGATTTACGAACTAAGATTATATTATTTTATTTTTTGAATTATTAAATTTTTCTTTTTTAATCAATAATAATAATAACAACAATTATTATCTATATTATTAAGAGAATAAGAACAATTTTGTGTCCAGGATAGTCATATGATAAAATCGGTTTTTTTAAATGAAATTTATTTATTGATTTACTTATTCATAATTTAATGCCAAGGCAAAAAGCCAAATGGCAAAAGTAACAAAGTAGATAATTTAAGTACATGTAAAACCATAAAACTTAGCCATTTCAGTATTTATACGTAATATGGATTATGACTTATAAATGGTAACATATGAGTAATATAATAATGAAAAATTAGAAAAATATAAAAATAATGATAAATACAAAAATATAAAAAGCTGATAAATTTAAGCCATGTTTTGTTTTTTAGTGTCATTGCAAAGATCTTGACTTGAATTTGTGTCTTTTCAAGGTTTCATATCATTCTCACCAATAGTCAATTTCTTATAGTAAATATTTAGGCTGCATTCGAAAATGCTCTATCTCTAGATACATAATTAAGAAATGACCTTGTATCTTGTGAACTATTGACATTTTTAAAGATATAAGCTCATCTTGATGTTACACTCATCGAGACCTTTCATTGGAGTACCCACATCAATTTTTCATATATTTTATATATTTATATATATTATATATATGGATATATGAAAAATATATCAAAATACACGCGGGTGCTCAAATGAAAGCTCTTGATGAGTGTAACATCGGGATGAGCTTATATATCTTTAAAAACATCAATAATTAAGAAATGACCTTTTATCCTGTGCACGATTGACATTTTTAAAGATATAAGCTCATTCCGATGTTAGACTCATTGGGACCTTTCATCTGAGTACCTACATCAATTTTTTATATATTTTGTATATTTAAATATATTATATATATGTATATATGAAAAATATATCAAAAATGCATGTAGGTACTCAAATGAAAGCTTTTGATGAGTGTAACATCCGGATGAGCTTATATCGTTAAAATATATATTATATATATGTATATATGAAAAATATATCAAAAATGCATGTGGGTACTCAAATGAAAGCTCTTGATGAGTGTAACATCGAGATGAGCTTATATCTTTAAAAAAGTTAATATTTAAGAAAGTACAGTGCAATTTGACGAAAGTCATTATTTAATAAAGCAACATTTTATTTATTTATAGTTCACAAGTTACGGCAGTCACATAGTGACTGCAAGGTTGCTAGTTATTATTATTATTATTATTATTATTATTATTATTTAATAATAATATGGCTGTAATTTTATTAAAGCCCGCTAAAAAAAATATTTTAACGTTATTTACGAGAAAAATTTTTAAATTGAGAAATTTTTCTTACTTTTAGTGAATCTTACTTAATTAAAAAATTTATCTTCTTAATTCTAGAAAATTATACTCTTTATTAATTTTTATGACTCAAGAAATTTTCTTTTGAATAAAGTTAATTTTTTTACCATGTCTCGCATAAAATTTCCAATTTTTTATTATCATAAAATTAATATAAAATAACCAAATAAAAATAAAATGATAAAATAACACACAACGTAGTGTAAAATATCTATTGCATCGTTAAATATATATTTTTCCATTACCACGCGCTTGATTCCAGGTCAAAGGGATAATTAAATCTCGTTCAAACGAACACCTATTCTTTTAAAAGTATTTCGAGTGTAATGACACCTTTTTTTTCACCGCGACTATTATTTTTACTTCCCGCTGTAACAATATTTACCAAAACCGCAGCAGTGCACTTTTAAACAAATAACTTTTTGTCACTACAACAGGTTTACAAGAAGAAGACTGAAGCCGCTAAAAAAGAGTACTTGAAAGCATTAGCGGCATACAGAGCGTCTGTAGTGAGTAAGAGTGCCAATGAAAACGAGCCCCAGCCCCCTCAACCCCCGCAACAGCAGCAACCACCGCCGCAACAGCAGCAACAACAGCAACAGCAACAGCAACAACAACAAGCAGTTCAATACGGAGCTTACACCGGGTACGGGGCCAATCAAGGACCAGGAAACCAGGTTGCCTATCAAGTCTACAGCCCCCAATCTCACCAACCACCCTCGCCTCAGCAGCAGCACCAGCAGCATCAACAGCAACAGCAAATGGCCATCAAAAAATCTCCCCATCATCTTTCTGGGATGCAACCTACTCACCAGCAACAGCAGCAGCCTCAACAACAGGTAAATTTTTTCAATCAATTTTATGAATTAATTTTCTTCAAAATTAACTCACAAAAAATTTGGAAATCGTTTGATCGCACTGGTCAACCTTACACTGAAAAAAAAACCCCTGACTGGAGTGTAAATTTTCTTGGCTCAAGAAAATATTAAGGAAGATTGAAAAATTTCTTGAATAAAGTCCAAGTTTCTTGAGCCAAGAAAATTTTTTCTTGCTCCAAAATAACATTTATCTTTCTTAAAATTTTTTTGACACAAGCAGTTTGTTTTTTTTGTGTAGAACTTCCCGCTAAGTTTGTTAAAAAAGCATTCGACGAAGTTTTTAAAGCACCAAAAGAAAATGTACAGGTTTATATAGGTAATTACTTACAAGTGGGTCAACTCCGTTTTTGGCCATAACTAAGTTAATAATTAACATTTTCAAATTTCTTTTTTATTCTGCTTGTTTTTATGGTGCATTTATGATAAAAAATGTTGTGGAAGAAAAAAATAAAGATTTTGATAGCTTTTTTGCCTTCAAAAGTTGGAAAAAATTTTGGCCCGCATGTTTTTGGATAAAATTTCTATTTTATCTTTTTTTGATATTTTTTTTTTTTGAAAAGTATATAAAAGAAATAAACTATTAAAAAAAAAAAAAAAAAACAGTTTAATATCACAATTTTCTAAAAACTTTAAAAATTTTTTTTTAAATTTGTTAAAATTGTGAGTTTCGGTCTAGTACATGATTGCATTAAGTTTGAGTATTTGGACAAATTGTACTGAAATAAAAAGTAAAAAATAAAATGAAAATTTGTTAAAATTGTGATAATTAACTTTTTTTTTGTTTTAAATGTTTATTTTTTTATGTATTTTTCAAATAAAAATATATCAATAAAATCAAATAAAAATTTTGTTCAAAAAAATGAAAATTAAAATAGTTGACCCTTGTAAATATTTACCCAGGCTTATATAATTGATTCGTTGAAAAATCTGGAAGATATCTTAAAAAAATACCGAAAAAAAAAGTTTTGTGAATTTTTTTTTTTATACAACTATAATTTTTGCATGCGTCGTTCGATTTTCATTTCTAAAAAAGCATTCAACGCAGTTTTTAAAGCACAAAACATGTATACATGGTTTGATTATAATTTTTTCGCACGATTTAAAATCATTTTTAAAAAACGTAAAAATTCAAATTTTTTTTTGGTTTATTTTTTTAAATTTCTTCAAAATTACTCGATGGATTCACTCTCAAATCTAATCCGATTTAAGTTTTGATAAACCCTTTTAAATATCGTGTCGTAGAATTTAATCGGTTGATTAATTTTTGAGAAACTGTACGACAAAAATTTAATTACACACATAGGAAGTTAAAAAATTGAATAAAAATTTTTTTTTGCCAAAAAAAAAATCTTATTTATCTTGTTAGTGATTTTATCGAATGAAAAACTGATAAATAAAATGACAAATGGTTTCAGGGTTTAATGGGGAATCCAATGGCGCCGCACATGACGCAGCAACAACATATGCAACAGCAAGTCTCCCAGCAGCAATATATGCAGCAGGTCAGTGAACTTACCCTTGATAAAATAAGTTTTATTTATTAAATAAAAAGTATTTTAACTACGCTAGTGAAAAGTTAAATACTCACCGGTTTGAGTTTTGATTCAGTAGAGTAATGTAAGCATTAAACAAAAGTTTTTACTCCCCTTGTAACTCGATTGTAATTCGTGTTTTCCTTAAAGTTCATATGAACATCAATTGTGTATAGCACTTACGAGCTATAAGGATCGTAAATAAAATAATGGCGAAGAAATAAATAGCGCTGTATGCTGTATGTGCTATCATTTTAGCAACGTAGAGATTTTTTAACTTGCTGGAGAACGAGCGTTAAACAGCGGGCTTATATTAACGCGAGATTGCGTCAAATTACCCGGTAATTTTAACTCCAGTACATTAGTCAAAATTACCATTAATTATCTTCCGTGTTGTAACTGATTTCCATAATTTGATAGTAATTTTATAAATATGTATTTTTGTAATACAAGTTTGCATGTAGATTGTAAAGGGGAGACAAGCAATAATGGAAGTAAGATGGACAAAAAGTCACGGTCGATGTTGGAATGCACAGGACGCGGTTTTCTATTGGCTTTGACGAGCATTCCAAACGTTTTTTTGCTTTTTGTTTTATTTGTTAGATGATTTAATGAAAGATAAATGTCTAATTTGTGTAAACAGTTGCTTTTTTGCTTTTAGTTAATAAAAAAAGAATATTTTTCCTTCTCATTTAAAAAAACCGCAATAATTTTTTAGTTCTAAGCTGAAGATATTTTTTTGCTTTAAAAATTATATTGAAGTTGGCTGACAGCTGTCAATTTTTTTAATAAAATTTTTTGAAAATTACTTTAGCATATATTCAATAATTTTATAACAAATAAATTATGGCAGAAAAAAAGTTGATGTAAAAATTAAAAAAAATAAAAAATGCAATTATTTAAAAATATTTTTTTTGAAAAAAAAAAAAAAATTGTCAAATAATTGCTTTTAATGACATAGAAATTTTTACTAACAATTTTTTTTTAATTTCTCATGTTGAATTTTTTTCATAAAAATTTAATTTTTATAAAATTGTAAACAAATTTTTAATGTAAGTTAACTTCAATATTTTTTTAAATTTATAAGATGGTAATTTATATCAAAGAAGAAATAAATTATTGTTAAAAACAATTAATTTGTACAGTTTTAAATACTTAATTTATAATAATAATAATAATAATAATAATAGTTACCTGACATTTTTGATTTTTTTATTTTGCTTTATTTTGCACATATTTTTTGAAGTTTTTAAGAAATGAAAAAAATTTTGATTGGTTGAAAGTGAATATACTATACATAAACGACACATAAATATATTATGACAATAAATATGATGCGCGCGCTTGCGCGCGAAAATTAAATTCTAGTTCTAGTCCTAATATAAAATTGAGATGAAATGTATGTGGCATCAAACTATTCGTAACGTGATTGGTCAAATATATCATAAGTATGAAAATATATGCAAACTCTATAGTTAGGCGCGCGCTTGCGCGCGCAAAATTCAATTCTAGTCCTAATATAAAATTGAGATGAAATGTATGTGGCATCAAACTATTCGTAACGTGATTGGTCGAATATTATATCATAAGCATGAAAATATATGCAAACTTTATAGTCAAGGCGCGCGCTTGCGCGCGTAAATTCTAATTCTAGTCCTAATATAAAATTGAGATGAAATGTATGTGGCATCAAACTATTCGTAACGTGATTGGTCGAATATGTCATAAGCATGAAAATATATGCAAACTTTATAGTCAAGGCGCGCGCTTGCGCGCGTAAATTCTAATTCTAGTCCTAATATAAAATTGAGATGAAATGTATGTGGCATCAAACTATTCGTAACGTGATTGGTCGAATATGTCATAAGCATGAAAATATATGCAAATTCCATAGTCAAGCGCGCGCTTGCGCGCGTTCCTAATATAAAATTGAGATGAAATATATGTGGCATCCAACTATTCGTAACGTGATTGGTCGAATATGTCATAAGCATGAAAATATATGCAAATTCCATAGTCAAGCGCGCGCTTGCGCGCGTTCCTAATATAAAATTGAGATGAAATATATGTGGCATCCAACTATTCGTAACGTGATTGGTCGAATATGTCATAAGCATGAAAATATATGCAAATTCCATAGTCAAGCGCGCGCTTGCGCGCGTTCCTAATATAAAATTGAGATGAAATGTATGTGAAACCAATCTATTCGTGATGTGATTGGTCGAATATATCAAAAGCATGAAAATATATGCAAACTCTATAGTCAAGGCGCGCGCTTGCGCGCGTAAATTCAAATTCTAGTCCTAATATAAAATTGAGATGAAATGTATGTGGCATCAAACTATTCGTAACGTGATTGGTTGAATTGAATATATCATAATACTAATATAAAATTGAGATGAAATGTATGTGGCATCAAACTATTCGTAACGTGATTGGTTGAATTGAATATATCATAAGCATGAAAATATATGCAAACTCTATAGTCAAGGCGCGCGCTTGCGCGCGTAAATTCAAATTCTAGTCCCATAATAAAATTGAGATGAAATGTATGTGGCATCAAACTATTCGTAACGTGATTGGTCGAATATATCATAAGCATGAAAATAAATGCAAACTCTATAGTTAGGCGCGCGCTTGCGCGCGCAAAATTCAATTCTAGTTTTTTAATTAAAAAGATCATATAAATTTTCTAGATGTCAGCTAACTTTATTTTCATACATTTATTGCGTAAAAAAAGTCAATTAAAATTAATTTTTATTAAAAATTGAACAACTTAATTGTTAATTTTTCAACTAGTTTCTAATTTTCACACAAATATATAAAAAAATAAATTACACAGTAAAAATTACAATTTCTATTTTATCAACTGTCAGTATGAAAAAAAACGTATTTCCGCCAACTGTGGCGTTAATGTAGTCGTTGAAGCGAACAGGAAGCGTTGAGCGTTGTTTATTTCTCGCATCAATTGAAAACTAACCTAGGAAATTTCAAATTGCAAATTTCAAATTTTTTTGTTAATTATTATTTGTAAATAAATGACAATTGTAATATATATATTTAATAACATTATGAACTAACATTTAAAAAATTTATTTTTCAAAGTTTTATTTTATTAGTTTCATTTTTTTTGCGTTTTTGTTACTGTGTATATTCAAATACGCAAAACCGTTTTTTTTTTTTTCAAATTTTAGTCAATTATGTAAATAGGAGTTAAATTTTTTAAATTAATTAGTTTTACGGTGACAGTTTAATTTTTTAAAAAATTAGTAATTATTGATTAAATTGTTGATTTATCAGTGAATTTATTATTAGAAGTTCAGAAAAGTTAGAAATCTAACTATTGAGTACCCACGTGGTAAATCACTTCAGTCACAATTTAGTTGTGTTTATTGTAATTAACACATGAATTAATTACAATAAATTTTATTAATATTAAAAAATGCAAGAGGTATGTGTAAAGAAAAAAAAAGAAAGGTTTTTTTTGCAATTATTATTTAGGGTTGAAATTTATAAAAATTAGAGCAGAAAATGTTTCTTATGGCTTTTTTTTGCTCTTTAAATATGAATGTGGCTATTTAAAAGAATAAAAATTAATTTAGCAGCTATTTAATAATTGTTTTAGTAAATAAATTATGGCAAAAAATTGACTTGTAGAAATTAAGATAATTTAAAAATGCAATTTTTAGAAAAAATTTCTTTCTCAAATAAAATTCAAAAATATTATAAGAATTTTTAAAATGACTTGAAGACACAAGATTACTCGAATAAAAAATTGAACAATTTTTATAATTGCGACTTCCAAGACTTGTGAACTATAAAAAATTAAAATTTCGCTTTATTAAATGACTTTTATTAAATTGCACTGTAATTTCTTAAATATGGACATTTTTAAATATATAAGCTCATCCCGATGTTACACTCATCAAGAGCTTTCGTTTGAATACCCACATGCATTTTGATATATTTTTCATATATATA